CGAAGGAAGTTACAACGCGGAATCTTAGTGTGAATGCATATTTGCGTGAAAAATACCATCCAAGTGGAGCGGAAAGCTTCGTTACAAAAACAATCCCCTTGTACATACGTACCGCAAAAACTGATGACTATTTTTCAGTAATTAACATTATCCACCACGACTAAGGGATACAGTCCGACACTTGCACCTTTATCTTTCGAAAAATTTACATGTTACTAAAAATATTTTACTAATCTTTTTGGTTGAACTTTAAAAGTGTGTGGACCGTCTTCAACATAGTTTTCAAAGGCATTGCCTATGACCCTTAAAAGTGCTCGAATACACTAAACTAAATGCATTCACATATATAACACAAAAATAGTCGAAAAGTCCTCTAAAGCTTGAAATCAATGCGTTAGTTTGACCGTTGAATTTATCGCAGCATATCATCAAGCTTGGCAGAGAGTTATTTAAGGAGGGTCTGCACCCACGCTATGAAATGTCGCCATGCCCTGCACAGTTTTGTTTAGTTGGCTCCCCGTGCACATTAATGTAGAAGGACGTTAGATTATACAGGAATCTATAGGCTAGGGTGTAGAGCGGCAAGTAAATCCTTCGTTTTAACTGTCTGATAAATTTTCTATGGCGTTGGTTCTTTTGTTGTTCTTTGCCCGTTCGGGTGTTGTGGTTGTACATTCTGGCTTCCTTGTGTTTTAGTTATATTTAAAGGTTCAGACTTCTGGTAAGAACCTCCAACGTTTTTATCTATGACTACCCGCTTAAGTCTTCCTCTTGCTTCGTTTGACATACGGTGCGTGGGCGCTGGACAGCGATTGCTGTCTCCCGTTAGCACGTGGCGTAATTGTTACGTCATCCACGCGACTTTTGCCCAACAGTACGCTGCAATCCCAACGCAAAAGTCTGCAAGCTATAAGCTTTTCTTGCATTCTTTTGTATATTGACTATCAATCCACTATTCCCCATTCATGCTTTCTACTTGGGCGTTAATGGACGCTCAAGCTTAAGCACTACCCTAGTTGCAAGAATATATCGCCTCGATATCCGGTAGATAGCGTATTTTGGATATACGTATATGAAGTGGTTAGCGTTTTTGTTCAGCGGATGTATATCGAGTTGTTATCGAATTTTCGGTATATTTGACAAACGACGGTATCAGCACGGATAGCAATTTACACGACCCCTTTTCCCTCAGAAATACTACCGTTTTATACTAATCCGACCTATGTTGTTTCTGTCGGCCTTTCTCCAACTCCCACGCTATCCACCGTAGTCTTAGTTTGAATGAAAAACGTATAAAACAGCGCAAAGTACTAATAGAAGCGAAGAGGCAAGTTTCAGGAAGTAGTCACGAAAGAGACACGATCACTGGAACAAGAGCTTTATAGCCAGACGTGTCAGATTGTCACTCGAATCCATCATCAGAGACAGAGTCAGATAGGGGGTGGTAAATTGCCCAGGTGATGCGCTGTTTATAGGATGTAGTTGCAAGGCCGTTACATGTCTTGTGGGCTGTGCAGCCGAACTGATCGCTAGGAAACCCAATGTATATCAGACTTCTGACGTTCACTAAAAATGAAAGCTTCATTTTCTCGAGTTCGCACACGTGCTTCGTTACATGAGGCAATCGGCGCGTCTGAAACTTTTCCATTTTGCCGCATGACACGACTGCAATTCCTTCTCTGTCGAAGGGGGACAGGACCCATTTTGCATTTTGAGATGAAAGAACTGTAGGCGAACTACTAAAACCGAGCCTGAATACATCAGTTTTGACAGTGCAGTGTCGTGGTCGCATGCGTCCCGAGGTGTTTCGGTATGATCATGGCTCATGCAGCACCAAGGTGCTTGGTGCCTATATATGGCTCAATTTATGCCTTAACCGTGTCATTCACACTTCTGGGTGACCCGAGGCTGCAATCGCCCTGATTGACGATGCTAAAGCCCCGCTTATGCTCCGGTAGCAGCTGTCACGGACAGTCGAGCTTTTGTTTTTCTGCTACCGCTGTCAACTTCCGAGTTGTTATGATGTACGCCCTAACGCTAGATACGGATGCCATACAAAAACAGGTGTTTTGACAAACTTCCTACCCAGAAGATGAAGATGCGATCACTGGGACAAGAAGTTTATTGGCCTGACGTTTCGGGTTCTCACTCGAACCCATCATCAGAGACATTCGCAGATAGAGGTGAAGGTGGCACCAGGAGTGCAGTATTTATAGCACGTGGCTGCC